TATTCTTAAAAACAAAAACAGCTTACGTTTGTGCTATTATCTGTGACTGCTTCACGTAATCCTTTTGGAAATAATTTGCCATTTTCAATATCCATTTTATTTGGTTCTGTCCTCAGAAAAAGCTCTATATTTTTAAGCAATTCACTCACTTTTTTGTAACACAACATTTGCTTCATTATGGCAATCAATTTCTAAAAGAAATAATGAATGTATAGACTCTTCCTTTCCCCCCTTTTCCACTGTCACTCCATCATTTCATTAATGTCCTTTCATGTCTTAACTTCTTAAAGTATTTATTTATTTACTGTGAGAAAACCTTTTCAAAGTGACAATATTGTACATTTAAGAAGATGTTTAGAAACGGTGTTCTTCAGTATTTTTGGTTCGAGGAATATTTAAATGATTGCCATAGAGGAGAGAGAATGGAGATAGCAGCAAAGTATTGTTCTGTCTTTTTTTTTTGCTGTGACTTCAGTGCAGTTGGGTGTTTTTTAGGCTGTTCCACTGTAACTGTAATTAAAGCATTGTCTCTAGAAATGATATTGTAGCGACCCTGTATAGGATGCTGAGGGTGTCACTTAGGCATCCCCCGTCTCTCTGCCAATCATAGAGCTGCACAGTGATGCTGGTTGAGGTGCAGGCCTGTGGTTGGGGGAGCAGACGGGGGAGGGCGGGAAGTTGTGACGTAGACACTGTTATATATATGGGTATGTGTAGAAGTTAGTGGAGTGTGAGGTTGAACCCACAAGCTGTTCCTGAACCTGTGATCATCTGTAAAGAAGAAGAGTTATTAAAGCCTAATAACTAGCAGCCTGTTTCCGACTCCCTTTGTGATCGTTACATTGGTGTCAGAAGTGACTTTTCGAACGGAGGACGTCTATCCGGACGGGAGTTCGTAACTGCGTCACGGAGCTAGCCGGTAAGCTAGCGGAGATGGAAAAGTTCAGCAAGATGGGAGTGAAGCAGGAAAGTAGTGATGGAGAGGAAGATGGAGCATGCGGGTGGTCGAAGGACATGAGTGGGGAGTTCAGGAGTGCACGGGAGGCGAGAGAGCGCCTGAGAGAGTCGGCGGTGAAGATGGCTAGAGACGCGGGAATGTCGCAGTCTTCAGTGGCATTTCGTGGCATTTCCAAGCTGGATGTAAACAACAATGGCGGCGCCCATCAACCAGTAGCAGCCGCCGCGTCCGTGAAAACACCCAAATACTCGGGTAAGGCAGACTGGGAGGCTTTCCAGGCCCAATTTGAACTACTTGCACATGCCGGGGGGTGGTCAATAGAGACTAAAGCACTACAGCTAGCTTTGTGCCTCACAGACGAGGCTCTTTCATGTCTGCTACTACTTAGCCTTGAGGACCGACACAGCTATGAAGCGTTAGCGGGGGCTTTGAAGAGGCGGTTTGGACAGTGTTTCCCGCCAGAGCTGCTCCGGAACGAATTGAGTAACCGCTGTAGGAAGTCTGGAGAGACGCTGCGTGCGTTGGCTAACGACGTGGAGAGCTTGACGCGGCGGGCATATGCACACATGCCACCCGGAGTGCAGAGTGAGCTGGCACGTGATCAATTCATCAGGGCTCTCCTCCCTGCGGACTTGAGGGTTGGGGTACAGCTGCAGCATCCACAGTCCTTGCAGGCAGCCTTGGAGATGGCTGTGGAGAGAGAGATTGTGTGGAGTGTAGCGGCGAGGAGCAATGGAGGGCCGGTACCACCGGCTGTGAGGAGCTGCAGAGAGGAGGAGAAGCCTATGGGTTACCGAAATGACTGAAAGTATTCAAGTTTTATTAGAGGAGAAAATGAGGGAGATGGAAGCAGCTGTCAATGCAGAGAGGGAACCGCGGCAGCAACAGGAGGCTAGACTCAAAGCGGAGCTGGCCTCTCTTGAGCGAGATCTCCAGGAGAGTAAAGAGAAGGAGAGCCTTGTGTCCTCTCTGGAGTAGTGCCTCCAAGAGGGCAAAGAGAGAGAAAGGAGCCTGGTGGAGGAGGGTGCCAAGAGGGAGGCGCAGTTCAAAGAGCTGCTCAGGAGCCTGGAAGCCGAGAAGGACAACCTGGAGGAGCGTCTGACGAACCAGCTGTCCCAGCTCAATGGCAGCATCGCAGACTACCAGCAGGAGGCGGCGGACAACCGAGAGCACTTGGCCGAGCTGCAGCGGGAGGTGGAGCAGTTGGCGAGGGAGCGGGCCGAGTTGGAGGCTGAGGCGCAGAGCGAGAGCGACCGGGCCGCCAGGCTGGAGGAGGACATGAGGCAAGCACAGAGAGAGAGAGAGAGAGCAGAAGCAGAGTCTGGTAAGCAGGAGGAGCTGCTGAGGGAGAAGCAGCTGGAGGTCCGGCAGCTGCAGAGGGACTGCATCAAGTACCAGGAGAGGATCAGAGAGATGGGTAGAGACGCTAAGGCGCTGCAGCAAGGTTACAACGAGCTCCAGAATAAGCTAGGACAATCCCAACTGGAGACTTTTAAAACTCTAGAAGACCTGAAAAGGACAGAAGCAGAGTTGGATACCTGTAAATCTCAGCTGGATGAGTCCCAGAAGCAGGCAAGCGTAGCTATAGCGGAGAGGAGTACCATGGAGCAGAATGCCCAACACAGAGAGGCCTCGATGAAGGCTTCAGACTCGGAGGCGAACTGAAGGAGATGGAGCTGAGACTGGACGAGGTGGACAGAAGCGGAACTATGACACCAGGACAAGAGGGCAGCATTTCCGGGCCGGGGAGCTGGTCTGGGTCTACAGCCCACAACGGAAGAAAGGCCGGTGCCCAAAACTAGACAGCCAGTGGGTTGGTCCCTGCAGAGTACTGGAGAGGGTGGGGGTAGTGTTTGTGCTGAGTTTTATTTGTTCCTCGTGGGCGAGGAACTTTGTAGTGGGGGGGTAGTGTAGCGACCCTGTATAGGATGCTGGGGTTGTCACTCAGGCATCCCCCGTCTCTCTGCCAATCATAGAGCTGCACAGTGATGCTGGTTGAGGTGCGGGCCTGTGGTTGGGGGAGCAGACGGGGGAGGGCGGGAAGTTGTGACGTAGACACTGTTATATATATATGGGTATGTGTAGAAGTTAGTGGAGTGTGAGGTTGAACCCACAAGCTGTTCCTGAACCTGTGATCATCTGTAAAGAAGAAGAGTTATTAAAGCCTAATAACTAGCAGCCTGTTTCCGACTCCCTTTGTGATCGTTACAATATGTTTAGGACTGGTCTCTCAGCATTTATAGATATGTTCTATTTCTATTTTGAAGGTAATTTCCCTGCAGCTCTGTACTGCCATTTCTCTCTCTGGTGTCACAACTGTCCACTAGAGAGCGCTGCAGCTCCTGATTTAACACTGATGCTGCAGAGAGCTTTCTTACTGCTGTTGAATACATTCCAGTAAGTTCAAAAATATTATTAATGCCACTATTCAAAAAGATCTGTTTGTTTTATGGCAGCCGTTATGCCATTTTAAATCAACACAGTGCCCTCTTCTTAAGGATTGAACGTCACACATGCTGTTTTCCTTTGTGGACATTTTATTTTGTGCTTATCTTGAGAAGCTGTTTGATTTCAGTATATTATTCTTAAAACTGTGCAATGGTTTTTGTTGACATTGTGTCTAGAGAAAATAACTTGTACTCTTTGATGCTAAAATGTGCTTCGCCTTAGTTTCAAGATAATTAAAGGTATAAAAAAAAAAACAGTGTGTGTGACGAGCTTCTTCCCTCTTAGTCTTCTTCCCCATTTATAAATAGATATCATGTCCACTTCCTACTGTCCTTCCCACATGACACCTACTCAACAATTTCATAACAGCTGTTTATATCCTAAAGCAGTGGTGGTGGATAGTAACTAAGTACATTTACTCAGTTACTGAACAGTTTTTAGGTAATTTACTTGAGTATTTACTTTTCCTGCTACTTTATACTTATAATCAAATAAATGTTCATGTATAACTATAGAGCGTTATTGGACCCTATGATAATTGTACGAGCTACCCAGCAGTATACAAAGGTAAACTTGCTTCCTATTGATCAGAGGCAACATTTGAGCATTAATGGATTGTTATTTATGATTAAAAAATATAACATACATTTTTCTGAATATTACGTTTTTCAGATACTTTTATTTTTACAAATATAAGTAGCATTTGACGACTTAAGGACAAAGTATTCAGCACTTCAACTTAAATAAAAATAGTAATACCACGGTGCGTAGAAATGATCAACACAATACAAAGACGTCCAGCATTTAAATCTGATAAACACATTAATGCATCAATGATTATAATCAAAACATATCATATATATTATTCTGAAATGGGGTCGATTTGCATATTGAGTACTTTTACTTTTGGAACTTTAATTATATTTTGATGCCAATACTTGTGTACTTTTACTTCAGTAACATCTGCAGGACTTTTACTATAACAGACTATTCCTACAGATCTGAGTCCTTCTACTTTTACTTAAGTACAAGGTCTGAGCAATTCTACTTTTAATCAAGTACAAGATCTGAATACTTCTACTTTTACTCAAGTACAAGATCTGAATACTTCTGCTTTTACTCAAGTACAAGATCTGAGTACTTCCACTTTCACTCAAGTAGCCTACAAGGTCTGAGTACTTCTACTTTTACTCAAGTACAAGATCTGAGTACTCCACCTCTGCAACTTACAATAAGTCCATCAACCACGAGAATGCAAACTCCGAACAGCACGAATGCTGCAAGAAAATTAGCTTCAGATAAGCCAAACATTTGTAGCCTAATTGCTATACAGATATTTGATTTGTGTACTGCGACCTGTTTAGCTTAATGATGTTTATTTATTTTCCCTTTTTCCTTTATGATTATTTTCTGTTTGTTATAAGTTATACTTTTTTTTTCGAAAGAGTGGTTTTATTATTGATCCAGTAGTAGGTGTTAAGGCAACGTTCGGATCCCAATCATTCTTAAAACCAAAAAGAAGAAATCCTTCCCGCTTTTATTTTGACGTCATCAAACCGCACCGGAAGTGAGGTTCCCAGCTCTTTCTAACCTGGATCGAGGTGGCGTCTCGTCGCTACGGTTCTCTCTCTCTCTGTGTTCCTGAGAAAGTGTGTGTGAGCTCCAGCACTACTGATCCATCATCTGTGTGTTTGGATAAACCTCTGAATGGACTGTGTGCTCTTTTTTCTGGAGCGTTTACCTCGGACTAAAGGAGCTAGCTTAGCATGCTAGCTGGAAACACGTTAGCAACACTAGTCAGATTGAGAGTTTGATGGACAGAGAAACGGTTTGTTTAACGGAGTTTGCAGGAAAAGGTGATCTAGTAAACATGAGTAAAGTCCAAATGCTGCTGTCGTTGAAGAAGCAGCGACTCACTGCTGCTGTTGAAGATATATTTGCTCTGTTTGAAAAAACGATAGCAGAGTACGAGGAGGAGCGGTCTCTTTCCAAAGAGGAGAACAAGAGACTCCAGAAACGACTGGACGCTGTTTTACAGCCTCAGCTTCGGATACACAGAGCAGGTCTGTTCCCTTTACCCTTAATTAACACTCTACACTCTTCAGTAGCACTTTATTATCACATTAAAAACACTTGAGATCCTTTATCAGCACTTGCTGCAGGTAGTACATCCTGAAGTAAAAGTACAAACACCACACTGTGAAAATTAATCAATGTTTATTTATACAGCCCAATATCACACATGTTACATTTGTCTCAGTGGACTTCACAGTTTGTACAGAATATCAGTATGACAATACGACACCCTCTGTCCTTAGACCCTCACATCGTACAAGGAAACACTTCCAGAGAAAACCCACAGTTTAAAGGGAAAAATGGGAGAAACCTCAGGGAGAGCAACAGAGGAGGGATCCCTCTCCCAGGACGGACAGACGTGCAATAGATGCCGTGTGTAAATTGAAAAGATAATACATTTGCAAAACACTCCATTACAAGTTAAAGTACTGCATGCATTCATATCTTATTTAAGTAAAATTATGTAAGTAGTATTAGTAGTGCTGTCAAAGTTAACGCGTTAATTTTGGCGATTAATTTTAAACATTTAATGCATACAAATTTGTTAACGCAATTAACATGGTTTTGTTTACTTCCGGTGGCGGCTGACTGCTTCTGGTGGCGGCTGACCCATAACCTTTGGTCACTTGCGCGGGCAAACGTCTATCCTAACTAAAGGAGAGTCTATGGCGGAAAGATGGATAAGGGCGGACTTTTAGGGGGAAAGTTTAATTTTCAAAAGTTGCCCGACGGCTCGTTGGACAAAACCAAGGCAATTTGCACAGTTTACAAAGCCGAATTTATTCCCACAGAAGTAGCACGTCTTTAGCGTATCACCTCAAAGCAAAACACCCTGCTGAAATTACCTCCACGGGACCTCGCCAGTCTACACTACAGGAGTGTGGCACTCGTGGGCGAATAACGAAACCTGTAAGTGAAAAGTTAACCAATTCCTTGGTTACTTGGATAGTTAAAAACTGCTGCCCAGTTAGCACAGTAGAGGATGATGGACTGAGAGAAGTCATTTGTGTTGCATCGGGAGATACCTCTTATAATTTACCCTCGAGGGGAACCATTATGTCAAGAATACACACCAGGGCTCGAGCTTAAGGTCGTCCCGGGGCCGAAAAAAATAGTGTCAGGGAGGATAACAAATTATTTTGGGACGAGAGTTAAAATAAAAATACCCTGCTAACTCTACTACAAACGGCGATTAAAATGAAACCGACTGCACGTTTTGTGTAGCACACAGTTATTAAACCTCCTTGTCAACATAAACACACACGCACAAAACATTTAGCAACCCGCGAAATAGAAATACACACGTAGCTACAGCTGTGCCGCTGGCTGTTTGCCAGCCGCCCAGCTGGCTGTGCCTGCAAATTCGCGGGTCTAGCTATGTACTACTGAGTGTGTGTATTTCGCGGGTTGAGTGATGTACAATGGCATCCCGTGGAGGAATTCTGAATTGTTTTACCGTTACATCACAAAAACGCACAGCAGAACCAGACCCTGGAGCGCCGGCCCTCTTTATTTACTTACTCCTCTTCATCCCCTATGGCAGGGGTGCCCAACCTTTTTTGAACCGAGAGCTACTTTTAAAGTTGCCAGTCTGCCGAGATCTACCAGTCCAAATCGAGAGGCGTAGCCATTACTGACAGCCTACTACCAGGTAAATACACACTTCTACTTGTATAAAACTGACCTTTGTACGATGAATACTTTATAAAATACTGCAGATCCTTTATCTTACCTCTTTCTAATCTACACACATACAAGTATTTAACTGAAGTTACACAACAGTGTTGTTGATACGGAGTTGGAGTTTATTCAGACGTCACTACAGTGGGTAATGTTTTCAAGAAGCATTGAACAGTGCTGCCACATATGACACAGGGAAAAAAGAAAAGACTCTGAACCCTTTCTTTGCCATTATATAAAAATAGTGTTGCTACAAAAGTATACATTCGGCTTACTAATAAGACAACTCAGATCTGAAGCTACACAGGAATCTGCTGCCAAAGTGCAATAAAAAAGACAAAATTAATAGAATCAAACCCTTTTTTTGTTGCATTTTAGTAGAGTATAAAAATAAATGCCTTTTAAAATAGGATGCAAGCAACACTAGTTTCTTAACCTGAATTGATAATAGACTATAATCAATTTAAACAGAACAGAACTGAATGTTTGCATTCTTATACCATTTTGTACAAAAGTTATAATGAATAAGTTCAAACAAACTAAAACTTACAGCAGATTAATAACGGTATCTAACTTGAGTTTTTATCAAAAACCTGTTGAAATGCTACTGTTATTTTTACTATCCCCAAAAAGCGCGTTAGCAGCCTCCAGGAATGCTTCTTTCACAACTTCGCCGTCTTTGAAAGACTTCATGTGTTTCGCAAGAACGTGACTGACACGATAAGATGCTCTGGAAGCAGCCTTGCTCTTGTTGTTGGGCCTGGTGAAAATGGACTGCTGTGCATTTAGCTGTCCTTTCAGGCCCCTCCCCTTTTGGAGCGTAGGGCAGAATTAGGAGGGAATTCCGTCTCGTAGCGTTTGTGGACTGTTTTGAAATGCCGCTCCTAAATTACCCTTCTTCGATAAAGCCACGCTCGCATTGCAGATGAGACAGATGGACTTTGAATTGGAATAGATACAAAAGTAATCATCCTCCCACTCGGAGTGAAAATTATATATTTTGGGCTTTTTTGCTTCTGCCATAATTGCGGTCTTGTGTGTGTGCGGACTGTCACTCCTGTTGACACGGACAACGTCAGCGAAATAGTGCCCACTGCCCACCAGCCACGCCCCGACACATGGGGTCACGCCGGCCAATCACAAAGCTTTGATGCGTTCAAGTGCATTATTCTGGCACAGGAACATTATGTTACAGGACATTAACGATAAAACAGAATGTTGTTGTTCTATTTTTAGACACATCTCGCGATCGACTGGTTGGGCACCCCTGCCCTATGGTATAAGGCTGAGAAGAGAACCCTCCATCGTATTTAGTCCTTAGCAATATGCTGCGCCTCTCTCCATGTAGGGATGGGTACCGAGCCCCGGTATTAAACGGGCCCCGGGCCGAAATTATTAAAGATAGTGGTAACGTTAAGCTCCAACGTTATCGGACTTTTTATCGGTACTGGAGACATTTAAAAAATATATGTCATATGTATTATTGCTACATACACATTATATCGCAGTTTTACTTTCGCCAACTCCGTTTCTAATATGCAATAAGACTACAACATGCGTCTATGATGTATTTTCGAGCTTTCCAATCCAGACGAGATCTCTCTCTCCCGTCTGTGTGCGAGGGGGCGGGGCCGTTTGTAAAAGTCTCCTGACTGTTACAGACTGTCATCCTGGTTAGTGGTTACTCTGGGTTCTGTCTTCAGGACAGTGTTGGATTTTTTTTGTTAATTGGATGGGACTTGATTGGATTCAATATTAGAGTAATTTTCTCATTTGTGTGTTTGTTTAAAGGAGACCTATCATGCTATATTTAAATGATATAGTGTATGACCATACCTATATAAGGTATATTTATACATTTTATTTTTCAAAATACCAAACAGATCATTTTTTAGCCATGCCTCGTTTCGCTCATTTTCGCTCTATTCCAAGCCTGTCTTTGAAAATTCTGAGCAGCAGCTGACCACGCCCCCCTGCAGAAGAGCAGGGCATGAGCCGGTGAGAGTCACGTTACCATGCTTGCTGTGATTACGAGTGTGGAATAAACATGTCATCTCAGAGCAATGCATGTGTTCAAGCGTATTATCAATTTGATCCAGAGACTGACCCTGAAGCAGCGGAGGTTTTGGTGGAGGTGAAAACATCTCGGTTGCAGCAGGACGTTTCTGAATGGTTAGTTGACAAGCTGTGTCCCTATTTATTTTACTCTGTTACGATGCGTGCTACTTATTCCGTTCATATTTTGGCTAATTAGCAAGAATGCAATGTGTACAGTTTATAACTTAGAGTTTGTAACGCAAAAACAGCAATACATATATATATATTTATAAAGGGAGACATTCATATTTTCAGCATATATACAATGGCCTCATTGCGTTTATGAATAGTTTACAGTCCTTTTCTTCCAACATCGTGCAACAACCGTTGGAAAGTTCAATAACTTAGGGTGATAAAAAGTATAACTCCAACAACACCTCAGTTGTCAGCAATGTGTGTAGTTTCATGTGTTTTTAAAAGCTCAGTTATTGACTTCTTTCTACAGGTGTACATGTGTAAATTGCGCCACGATGCCTTCTGAACGGAGAATGTGCTGCATGGAGATACCACAGGTAACATTTTTGATAGCTTCACTAAGTTGTCTGTTTAGAGAATACATTTTTCACATGTCATTCAATATATGTTTATCACACTAGACTGGACGTCTGTCAACAACGATAATTATTTGGGCGTCACAGCGCATTTCATTGAACAAGACTGGACTCTGCAGTCGTTTGCACTTACTGTGAGTAAAACCGAGGAGCGACATTATGCCGAGGCATGTGCTAACCTTTTCTGGATGTTGCAAACGAATGGGAAATCAAGGAAAAGTTGACCACACTCGGCACTGACAGCACTCGTAACATGGTAGCTGCCGCGAGTCTACTTCCATTTCAATACCTGCCTTGCATGGCCCACAGTCTGCAAAGAACGGTCACAGTCTCACTTAAAAACAGTGGATTTGAAAGTGTTCTGGCCAAATGTCGCAAGATTGTCGGGCACTTTAAACATTGTCCATCTAACGCTCAGGAATTAAACGAAGAGCAAGTTGCACACGGACTTAAGCAAGAATCACTTGCTCAGGACGTTGCAACAAGATGGAATTCTACGCTGGAGATGGTAAAGAGGATGCAGAGAAACAAATCTCCACTGACCACTACCCTGGCGCAGCAAAAGAGCAAGGTTGCCATGGTGACTGACCCGGAGCTTGCCAAACTGCAAAAGCTGGAGGAACTACTTGAACCTTGCAAGTAAGTTATTTATTTCTTGTTTCTCCTCCCTCTCTTTCTTCCTATCTCCTGTGTACAGTATATGTGTACCGTTTTCTCTCCCTCCCTCTCTCTCCATCTCGTGTGTGTGTATGTTGTTTTCTCTCTCTCCCTCTCTCTTTCACCTGTGTGTGTATGCTTCTCTCACTCACACCTGTGTGTGTGTGCTTCTCTCACTCACACCTGTGTGTGTGTGCGTGCACTGGTTCTCTGTGTTGTTAATAAAGATTTACTGAAATGTTTAACACCTTGTGCTTTCCATTGCAGATATGTGACTGAACTGCTGGGGGGGAGCAGTATGTCTCCTGTTCAGTGGTCTTGCCAGCCTTACGCCACTTGTGCAGAGTTATGGAGCCCTCAGGTGATGATCCAGTTTATGTTCTGAGGTTCAAGAAGGCCTTTACCACAGACCTAGCTCAACGGAAGGATAGCACCAACCTCAAATGGCTGAAGATCACTACTTCCCTTGACCCTAGGTTTAAAGACCTTAAGTGCCTTACAAAAGATGAAAGGAGTGAGGTGTGGGCTTCAGTACGCGACCTGATGATGAGAGACACACGTGCACAACAACCACCTGCTGAGACAACAGAGGAGCCGTCACCAAAGGAGAGGAGGAGGATGTCCATCTTGCTGTGTTCTTCTGATTCAGATACAGATGACAAGGAGGAGTCCATAGAGCATTGTCTGGATCGCTACAAAGCAGAGCCAAAAATGGACATAGAGGGGTGTCCACTACAATGGTGGTCAAAGAGAGAGGGAGCACATGCCAGGCTGGCACCCATTGCACGCAAGTACCTGTCAACCCCTGCAACCACAGTGCCTTGTGAGAGGTTGTTCTCACTCTCAGGCCACATCGTACAAAAGAAGCGAGCTTCTTTGTCCCCTCATAACGTAAACAAACTGGTATGCCTCAGTAACTGGCTAAATGTAAAGAAGGACAAAAGTAAATCATGTCTATGGAGTGAAAAATGTTCAATGTTCTGAATTATTTTTTGTATTTGCACTGAGCATATGTGCACCTTAAGCCATTAAAATGGTCTTTGAATTTAAATATACTTTCTCTGTGTTTATTCTACATTAATTTGATGATTTTACATAACTAAATATTCATTATAAGCTTCAGTCTTAAGTAGAAAAATGCAATTAATTTATTGATAGATTAATCGCGATTAATTACAGAAATGTGTGCGATTAATTAGTTAATTTTTTTTAATCTATTGACAGCCCTAATTATTAGACGCATGTACTTTATTATAATAATTAAAATGTATTACGGTAGAGCAAACCTACCGAAATAAATATATTTATAAAAATACATACATTGAATAATATGCCATTTAATTTACTGATTTAAATATTACCCATACATGTAGGCACTAGTTGGTTAATGTGACATACTTGATACTTTAGTTTTTTAATGTGCTTCTTTATTCACCTTTTATTTTTAAATGTGTAAAAGAAAAGAAAAACAAACACTTTGGATTAATTCAAATTGCGGGAGAATAATTCATAAAGAAATCAATTAATAAATATGTTCAATAATAAATTAAACACATCTAAAATGTTACTTGATAAAGAATAGGGGAACTAGTACAAAGGTCATTAAAAAACATTAATGTAAAATCTCATCAATGAATTATTGCCAACATGTATTTATAATATATTCTGTATATGTATGTATGCATGTATGTATATATATATTCACAGAATATATATTTTGAGAGAGATATACACTAGTATTAGACGCAGTCAAACGTTTGGACACATCTTCTCATTCAAGATTTTTATTTATTTAAATTGGTTCTACTTTTTAGATTTATACTGAAGACATCAAAACAATAAAAGAACACATCGACTAGAATGATCTAGTAAACAAAAAAGTGTTAAAAAATCTAGAATATGATTTATATTTAGCTGGCTACTGCAGAAGGCTGTGGTAGCCATGCTGGTTAAGGGTGCCTTGAATTCTGAATAAATCACCAACGGTGACACCAGCAAAGCCCCCCACCACCATCTCACCTCCTCCATGCTTCACGGTGGGATCCACTCATGCAGAAACCATCCGCTGACCTTCTCTGCTGTGCTCACAGAGACACGGAGGTTGGAACCAAAAATCTCTAATTTGGCCCCATCAGACCAAAGTACAGATTTCACTGGTCTAATGTCCAATCCTTGTGTTTCTTGGCCCAAACAATTCTCTTCTTCTTGATGTTCATCCTCAGTAGTGGATCTTTGCAGCAATTGGACCATGAAGGCCTAATTCATACTTTGTCCTCTAACAGTGCATGTTAAAGGTCCCATGTCATGCTTTTCCTGTTATTACCTGTCCCCAGGGTTGGGTTGTAACGGAATACATGTAACAGCATTACGTAATCAGAATACAAAAATCAAGTAACTGTATTCAGCTCGCGTTACATTTGAAAAACGAGTAATCTGATTACAGTTACTTTCGTAAACCTGAAGTGAATACATTTTGGATTACTTATTGGAATTATTGGTGGAAAGATTTCCTCACAACATTTAATATTCATTACTAAAGGTACAGCCGAATCATCGCAGCGCACAAAACCTATTACCACCGCAGATGGACCAAAAAAAGGGAGCGTTTGAAAAAAAATTGCGGGTCCGCTCAGTGAAACAATAACAACGAAACATGGAGGAACAAAAGTCTGCGTTTAAATCGTGTGTGTGTGTGGTTAAAACACATCAGCCTGCGGTTGTGCTTTAGCCTTTCTAATGATTCTGAAGGTAAACACAGTGAAGGCGGTGCGTGAAAGGCACAGCGCGCTCCTCTTCTCAGAGGCTGAGTTAACCCTCCCGCTGCCTCCTGGTGCTGCAGAGATTTCATGAAGTGAAGGAGGTGTTCCTTCTATAAAAATGCTGTGGGCAGCAGATACTGTGAGTGTCACGGACATGAATTCATAGATCAAGGCAGACTGGTGCACACACTCTCCTGTTTTGCCAATCCGGTGCTTAAACAAATATAGCTCTAAACCCCTGGCCGAAATGTCCTTAAAATGAAGTCCGAGTTCAACATTTTAATTAATGTCCTGCCAACACTGGCAGGACAGAAGGCGACACGCCCGTTCTAAGCCGTGTCCCTCACTCCTCACACATCCCAAGCTACATCCCCAAAAAGTGTATTATGTTGTTACAGATGTTATGTTTCAGTTGTGCTCTTGATAAGCCATTAAAACAGTAAAAAGTCGTTCAGTTTCCTTTTGCTTTTTGTGTCTCCTGTTCACCAAAACATACCCATCTGTGATGGAAAAAGAAAGTAATCCAAAAGTAATCTAAAATTAATCTGATTACTTTTTAAAGACACGTAACTGTAACTGTATTCGGATTACTTTCAGAGCCATGTAATCAGTAATCAGTAACTGATTACATTTACAAAGTAACCCTCCCAACCCTGCCCATCCCCTAGGGAGGGTCCGTGGTTTTCTACACAGACCCTCACTATTGCGTTAAGCGTGTTGTAACTTCCGGTCGTTGTTGTCACCTCCGGGTATCCTGTGTGCCTGTTCTGCTGCTGATAGCTTATATGATCTTAACTTAAATCGATCGTTTTAAAACTCTTGTTCAAGGCAACTGCCTCACGTTGTAATCACACGTTACTACAGCTTAAGCACTCACAACTCTCCTTCTTTTAGCGACTGTAACTCCACAGTTGCCTACACTCTTTTCGGGTTTGCTAACGGTAGCTACTTTAGCTTGATAGCTAAACCATGGCTCTTTCCCCACCCTCGGGTGCTATTTCCTGCTCTAACTGTCTCATGTTTGGTTATTCCCCTACCTCCTTTACTGGTACCGATACCGAAATTAAATTATTTTTTCCAAAACATTTTTTTCAATAACTTTTGGAAATAAATAAATACATGTTCAAATAAGTATAGAAACCAAGTCGAATTTGTCAAATGTATTGAACTGGTGATCACAGTTTGACAGCTATAGGCCTACAGCTTTCATGTGCTGAGGCGATTCACAATCAGGCCAGCTGTAGAGAAGACCCTCTCAGCTGGAACGGAGGTTGCGGGTATAGTATGTATATAAGTTTAATTTGGCATAGTTTGCACTCTACACCGCACTCACTAACCTGGTCGAAATATTTCCACACATTACTCCTTTTTGACGCCGTCTGTTGTCTCTCCTGTCAAAATGTCTATGTACTTTGCCGCCACACACAGTTGCCAAGCAGCGCTTATTGTTGTTTAGGATGGCCACTCATGTGTCGCGAGTGTTGACAGGGGGCGGGGGAGCACGCTCATGAACTGTTAGCGCCGGAACCTCGCAACGGCTGCGGAGCGCATTTGGGCATAAGATGAGGTTTGAGTCTGCGTGATCGCGTGTAGGGAGGGGCAGCAGCCATAATCATTAGCTAGAACTAGCTAGATCTGATGGATTTCGACATAAACGCGAGTGAAGTATAACCAGAACGCGAGAGAGAGAGATCAGCACCTGCAGCTCTGCCCGCTGTGAGGGACCGGCAAAAGGGAAGTGCTCACTATCACAGATTTTTCAGATTTGTGAACAATATTTGAGAGAAATGGTTATTTTGTGTATATAGAAAATGTTTTAGATCTTTGAGTTCATCTCATGAAAAATGGGAGCAAAAACAAAAGTGTTGCGTTTATATTTTTGTTCAGTGTATATTGATTCTGACTTTTCTACATCCAGCTCATAGGTTTATCATTACTTTGAGAAAAAAGATTATTAATTTAACCCTTTTAGAAGGGAAGATATGGTCATTTGTTCTGGGAATGTCATTTTCGAGCCTGAGACCTGAAAAACAAGCTCAGGGCTAAACAGGTTAATAGATGAGAATAAGAATAATGCAAGATTTCTTTACAGCACTGCAGCCAGGCTGGCAGAGAGCCACAGCTCGATTGAGCCTTCTATTCCCATAGCACTCAGTAGTACCTCTTGCCTTAGACCATTATAGTGTTATCAACAACTCCCGGAAACGTAAATTCTAATATTACACTAGATAGTAAATTAGAATTATTTTCAGCCATAAACCTTGAACAATTAAATTCAATGATTCTCTTCTAAACCATCAACGTGGTAAAAGCTGTTAAAGGAAGTTTTTCCATTAATTAGCACTTCTTTATTAAATATTATGAATATGTCTTTATTATCAGGTTATGTTCCACAATCATTCAAAGTAGCAGTGATAAAACCTCTTCTTAAAAAGCACAACCTCGATCCAGAGGTTCTAGCCAACTATAGACCTATTTCTAATCTTTCGTTCCTCTCAAAAAATTCTCAAGAAAGCGGTCGCCAAACAGTTGTTGTGATTACTTAAAAAACAATAATTTATTTGAAGATGTTCAGTCTGGCTTTAGAACACATCATAGCACAGAGACAGCTCTGGTTAAAGCCACAAATGACCTTCTAATAACCTCAGACAAAGGACTTGTCTCTATTCTTGTCTTGGCTCTATCTCATTGCTGCATTTTATACTATCGACCATGATATCCCTATTGCAAAGACTAGAGCACTTAGTTGGCATAAAAGGGAACTGTTTAGGCTGGTTTAGGTCCTATCTATCTGAACGCTCTCAATTTGTATGTGTCAACGATTAATCTTCCATGCAAACCAAAGTTAGTCATGGAGTGCCACAGGGCTCAGTGCTTGGACATATTTTGTTCACATTATATATGCTTCCATTAGGCAATATTATAAGGAATCATTCTGTAAATGTTCATTGTTATGCGGATGATAGTCAACTATATTTATCAATCAAGCCTGATGAAATGAATCATCTAAATAAAATTCAAGACTGCCTCAAGGTATTGTTGTCACAATAACAATATTTTGGTTTTGATACCGATACCAAGTCAAGAATTGCGATTCCGATTATTTTTCGATACTTTTCTTAAAAAAAGGGAAAGTCTTAAATGTAATTATTGTGCT